CGCCCACCACCCCCCCCCCCCGCCCCCCGCCCGTCCCCCCCGGGGCCGCCGGCCAGCCCCTGGCCCCCCACTCCCCCACAGCTGCTTCGCCCAGGCCCATGGGTGCCCCAGCCGGGATGCCGGCTGGCCGGAGCAGGAGGAGGAGGGGGGGCGCCGGCCCCACCGGGCTGTGGTGCTGCTGTAGGGCTTTGTGCTGAGGTGGGCAGGGGTGGACGTGGGGACCCGCCATGGTGTCCCCAGGCAGCAGCAGTGTCCCCCGGCGGGGCCTGTCTGAGCTGGGACGGCCCCGGGGGCTGCGCAGGTTGGGGCTGCCCCCAGCCCCGGACCCTCAGGGCCAGGAGGAGCCACCGCCATCATCCAGTGCAGCCCCCAGCTCCATCAACGCTGCCCCAGCGCCGGGGACAAGGACAGAGGAGGGTCCCTCCAAAGCACCAAGCAGCCCCCTGTCCCCGAAGCCATGGGGATGGCATCCCCCGGCCAGCCTGAGGTCCCAGGCCATGCCCACACACCCACCCGACAGCATTACTGTCCCGGGGCTGTGCCTGGGGTGCGACAAACCCCCCTTTCCACAGAAGAACCTTTAATTTCTCAGCCCCCCCAGTCTCAGGCGCACCCTGAGCTCCCAGTGTGCCACCACGGCCCTGCCTGTCACTGCTTTCGCTGGCTTGGTGCCACCGCCGAACCCTCCCCGGCTCTGTCCGGGGGTGCCAGGCCAAGGTGGGCATCTCCATCTCTGATGCCTCTGGGTGCTGCTCCCTGCATCCTGCCGGCACCCCGAGCGTCTCGTGCTGACACCCAAAGGAGACTATGGCCCCGGCTGTCCTCACCTGCTGCCGAGGCTGGGGCCGGTGAGCGGCACCCCTCCTGTGATTTTATTCAATAAACATTTCTGCCTCTGCAGCTCACCCTCCCTTGGCAGGGCCCAGCCCGGTGGAGCTCCCCAGGGAGGGGAGAGAAGGTCCCCAGGGTCCCCGGGACATCGCCGCGGGTGTCCCTTGGGAGGGCATGGCCGCGGGATGGAGCCACTTCCTCCTGGGCCAGGGGCTGGCAGGGCTCCCCAGGGCCCCTGGGGGCCCTGTTTGTCCCCGTGGCTCTGGGGGCAATCGGGCTGATCCCCCCACCCAGGGACCGGCGCAGGGGGGGCTTCAGAGACCTGGCGTGTCTTCGGAACGGGCAAAGCTGGCGCAGCGGTGGGCAGAGGGCGGCAGAGCCATGAGCTCCCTGTCCTCAGCCAGACCCCGGCGCTGCTGGCCAAGGTGCGGAGGGAGCTCGGGTCTGCTTCGGTTTCCCTGGCACGTGAGCGGTGGCACCGAGAGCTGGGTGGCCCCGGGCACTCCAACCAGAGCTGAACTGTGTCCGCTTGCACTGGGCCAGTGGTGGCCGAGGAGGCTCCTGGGCTGGGCCAGCATCCGGGAGTGGTCGCCCCGGGGTAAGGCTGGCACCATGGCGGGGCACCCACAGGTGCTGGGGAGGAGCAGGAGGGCAGGGCAAGGATACAGGGCGGGTGCTGGCTCTGCTGTTGCCCCAAGCCCTACGGGGAAAGGGCCCTGCACCCCGGGGTCAAGTCTCCCGCAGTGGCCCAGGGCCACCGTTACCCCTGCTCCATCCCCAAGCCAGCACAAAGCCACCCGAGAGCTCTCCGAGACCTCCCAGCGCTGGGAGCCTCTTGGGAACGCGCCGCAGTGCCTGATCCCCACGTGGCCGAGGAACCCGGGAGCGATCACGGCCCTGGGGACCCCCAGCCCCTCACCGCAGCATGTCAGGACCCCGCCAGCCCCACGGCCCCCGGTCTGCTCCCGGCCGCGCCCCCCCCCCCCCCCCCGCCCCGGCCGAGCCGGTGCCTTGGCAGGCTGGCGGTGCAGAGCCGGGCGCTGAGATCCCCTCCAAGGTTATGATCGCCCTCATCGAGATGGGTGGTGGGGAGGGGGTGGCCGGGCAGGGGGCTGGGGGGCCCAGAGCCACCCAGGCCATCCAGGCTCCCTCCTGGCGCTGCTGAGTCGGAGGAAACGAAGGAGCTGGGTGCTGGGGAACCAGCCTGACCGGCTCCCCGGCTGTCAGCACCTGAGGAATGCCAAACCTGCGCTGCGCCAGGGCTGGGTGCTCAGGGCTGGGTGCTCGCTGAGGGCTGGGTGCTCACCGGGTGACTCTGCCGGTCCGCCCAGCTGCGGCGTGCAGGGAGCAGCACCCCCAGCCCCGCTCGGCACAGCACGGCACCCCGCTCGCCACCCGGCCGGTGCAGTGGGACCCTCAGCCGGCAGGTACGTGGGGGTGCAGGCTGTGGGGCCCCTGGGTGCAGGGTGCTGCCCAGGCCGGCCTGGCTTGCATGGGTGCTGGCAGGGAGGGAGGCTTTGCAGTGCTGGGAGCCGGAGGGCGCTGGTGCTCCCATCCCGGCTGCCACCTGTGCGGGCTACCCAGTGCTTGGACCCATGCCCCGGCTTGGTGGGTGCTGGGATGGGTCCCTGCTCATCCAGGACTGGGATCGGCACAGGCCGGGGAGGGGGGACGGGGCTGGGAGGTGGGGGCTGAGCCCAGCTCTGCCCCTCTCAGCTTCAGCCCCTGACATCGGGGGGCTGCTGGGGTTGTAACCCCGCTCCGACCACCACAGTGCGTCCCCAGAGCCACCGGAGCGAGCCAGGGCTCCTCCACCTCCGGTGGCCTCGTGACCCAGGCTGGGGGGACAGGGCAGCCCGCTGTCCCCCTCCTCCCTGCCGGGCACGCGGCCACCAGTGACAGGGCTTGGCGAGGGGAGGCAGGGGCGGCGAGGGGAGGTGGCGGTTCGCCTGCCCTTGTTATGAACCCCAGCCTGCGCAGCAGCCACCCAAACCAAATCCTTGATTTTCCTGAAGGCGGCAGGTCCGCTCTCACCCCGCGGTGATGGGGCTCAGCCCAACATGGCCGGAGGCTCGGCTTAATCCGTGGTCTCCAGCTCAAAGGCAGCCACAGCCGCTGCCCTTGTCCCCTCTGTCTCTTCTGAATATTAAACGGCACCTTGCACCTTTTGCTTGGGTGCTGGGAGACCCTTTGGGATGACAGGAGGCAGCAAACGAGCTGAGCGCGTTGGCTTGGCTTGGCCAGGGGGGATTAATTAGCCGTGCCAGGTACCCCGGTGTGGCAACACTGCTGGGACCCAGCGTGGCATGTCCTAGCAGGTAGGGATGGCTGGCAGGAGTAGCTGGGAGGCTGCAGGGTTTTATCCTTGTGTCCTTGTGTCCTCATGTCCTTGACCCACTGTTGCAATAGGAAATACTCTAGCAAAAACTGGGGTGCTGGGGCAGAGCAGGGCTCCGGGGCAAGCTCCGTTCCCAGGGCCAGTGGGGCACCGGGTGGCCCAGGGTGGCACCGGGTGCTGGATCCAGCTGCAGGGATGGGGTGCGAAAGACAGACCTGGAGATCTTCGGAAATCCGGCTCTGGGCAAGAGGCAGACATGATGCTGAGTCAGCAGCTCCCGCCTCCCCCCAGCGCCCCGGTGCTGCATGGAGCTGGCGTCCCTGTCCTGGTGCCACCCCGGGGCCACGGGCACGGCGGGGCTGGGCACTGCCAGCAAGTGCTTGAGAAACCAGCGCTGAAGCAAGCCCGGGGTGCAATCAGGTGCCAGGCGGCTCCGGCTCCAGCTCCGGTGGGACAGCAATATTGCAGGGCAGAGAGGGGCTGCGTCCCTGTGCAAACCGCGCTGCCCTGGCACCGCCGCCCCTGGCAGGAGCTTTGCCGCTGCGGGGGTCCCTGCGTGCCACCGCGGAGCCCCCGGCTCCCTCCAGCCTGACCCTGCTGATGTCCATTTGCTCCGACACCCGGGTTGTCCCCAGCACATTTAAGCAGCTTTTCCTCCGCGCTGCCGAGTGCACCCATCCCTCCTCCACTGGCGGGTGCTGTGGCCCTGGGGATCCAGCTGTGGCTTTGCCCATGCAGATGTGCGGCCCCGCCCAGGCTGGTCCCAGCCTCCAGCGGTGCTGACTGTCCCAGACGAGGTCTCATCACCTCCTGGAAAATGACACAAACTCTTCCTATCTGCACCGGCAAGACCTGCCGGGCCGGGGAGAGCAAGATGCGGAGGGCGTGTGGCGGGCTGGCAGAAGGGGCAGGCAGCTGCCTGCACCCGGCGCTTTTCTGCCTGCCCTCTGCCTCCCCGACCTCCCTTAGGGACTGGTAAAGCCCAGCCTGCAGCCGTTGGAGGGAGCCCAGCCCCAGGTGGTGCAGGATGAGGCCCTCTCCCGAGGTGCCCCCCCCGGGGAAACCAGCCCTGGGGGCTGTGCAGGCAGCCGTCCCCGTCCTCGGCCGGGACACCCCGAGCTCAGCCTGTCCTCGGGCTGAGCCCAAAGCCCTGTCGTCCCTGCCGCTGTCCCCGTAGCCGGGCGGTGACACCGAACTGCGCCTAATTGGGAGATGCCGAGATGCTGGCGCGCTTCCGGCTCCCTCCCCGGCACCTGCTGCGTCAGCGGCTTCCCAAACCCAGCAATAAACCCTCCTGGGGCAGGGACACAGCCACGGCACAGCGACGCCTCCGCCGGCATCCCCCCGAGCCGAGGCAGCACGGGTGTCCCTGTCCCATGCCCTGCGCCCCGGGGACCACAGCGGTGCCCACCCTGCAGCACCGAATACAAGGGCGCGGGAGCCGAGTGCTGGGTACCAAGTGCTGGGTACCAGCTTGGATCAGGGTGCAAGCGCTGGGCGATCAGTGCCGCTCATTTTCTCATGCCGATGGGGCTGCAGAGGCGGACGGAGCCACCCCACCTTTGCCGATCAGCAAGAGGGAAGGGTCAAGGGAAGATGCTGCTCAGGTCCCCACCTCCTCCTGCGAACCCCACGGCTGCCCCGGCCCCGGTCCCGCTCCTGGTGCCGGCCAGGCCCTTTTCCCCCACGGAACAGCTTCCCTGTTGCTTTTTGGGCTTGTTTGTTTGCTGCATTTGCTGACTCGGCGCAGCCCTGCTGCCCGCCTGACTCATCCTGCAGCTCGGCGCACGGCATGGCTCGGGGCACGGCCCGGCCCGGCTGGATCCTGCACACTCACCTGCGCTGTGCCGGCCCGCCGGGCTCTGCCGGAGCCCACCTTGGCGGCGTGGTGGAGGTCACCACCATCTCTGCTGGATGCAGAAGTGTTGGTGTGGGCAGGCAGAGGGGCCCACGGTGCCCCCCACGCCGCCCCCCACGCCCTGCCTGTGCCAGGATGGATGACATGAGCACCCCGAGAACTGCAGAGCCCCAAAGCCACCTCCTGTGCGCATGGGACCCCCCCAAAAATGTTCTGCAGGGTCAGAGGGAGGTCTAGGGGGTTTTAGGGTCTGGTTCGGGGCCCAGGGCTGGTCCCTGCAGGGTGGTTTCTGCTCAGCTCTCCCAGGGTCTCCTTCTCTCCCTGCAGCTCTGCCAGCCCCAGCACAGCAGCCGCAGGGGCCAAGCCCGGCAGCGCGGGGTGTTACGGGGCCACGGCAGCTCCCTCTCTGGCCCCCCGGCATGGATTCGCCATTCCGGCACACCAAGACCAAGGGCTTCGTCTCCAGCGCGGAGCTGAGCATGAAGCAAGCGGTGCCGAGCGCGCCGGGGCCTGAGGGCAGGTCCCGCTTCCAGAAGGTCTCACTGGTGTCACGGCGGCTGGAGAGCACGGGGAGCACACGGGGCCGGGAGGGGAGTCCCTCCCGCGTCTCCCTCCTGCTGCAGGCCTGGGAGAGGGAGATCGTGGAGAAGACAGCGGCCGGCTCCACCACCCTGACGCACCGGGAACGCTCGTCCTCCGTCAACCTACTCAAGGACTTCACCGCGCACGGCCCCATCTTCTCGCAGGTGTATTCCCCTGCGCAGAAGCCCCGGCGGCAGGACGAGAGGGGGAAGGTGGGGGCTGGCGGAGGCGGTGGTGGTATCCCTCCACCGGTGGGTGCCCCCCGTGAGATGCCCGTGCACAGGGAGAGCTACGTGCACGGCACCCTCCTCCCCACCCGACCTGCCGAGCACCCTGCAGGGGGTCCCGGCGAGGGTCCCAGTGCTCCGTGTGGGGCCGAGCCCGGCCACGTCTCTGCCCTGCCCAAGGCCAGGCACATCACCGTGCTGCGGACGGGCAGGGATGCAGCCAGGCCTGAGCCGGGGCTGGCGGAGGGAAGGGAAGCCCAAAATGGGCTGCACAATGCTGCTGACGCCACGACGGCCCTGCCGCAGCCGGAGAGCCGCGAGCAGGACAGCAGCAGCTTTGCTGGGGCTGCAGCGGGCAGCGAGAGCTCGCCGGGCACCGCGGAGACCACCGGGCTCCCGACCGAGGGATCCCCCGGGGAGAAGCACTCACCACAAGCTGAAGCTGCGCCGGCAAACACAGCCCTGAGAGACGGTGACAGGCCTGGGGACCCACAAACCAGTATAACCAGCTCCCCACAGTGTCCCTCGGCGGACGCCAGCAGCCAGGCGGATCTGGCTGGCGCAGGAGAGGAAAGCACGGCAGACGGGGATGGTGCCATTTCAGCCATGCCACCGAGGACAGAGAGCCCCCCGGGAGCTGGCAGCACTCCCGAAAACCCCTCCTTGGATGCGAGTGATGCTCCAGAGCCTTCATCCGAAGCACCAGCATCTCCAAAGGCTGAGGTTGAGTTGGAGGGGGGTGAGACGACGGGGGACCCCCAGGGCACGGCCCAAGAGCCCAAGAGCAGCCCAGATCCCCCCACTGAGCCCCCGGCCCAGGACCCACGGGCCGAGAGCCCCCCAGACGTGACCGAGGAGGACCCCGAGCTGCTGGTGGACATGGAGATCTTCGTGGACACGCTGCGCAACATGGAGCCCTCGGAGATGCGGAAGGCTCCCAAGGCCCCGCGCCAGCCGCGGCCGTCATCGCTGGGCCGCTGTGCCGCTCTGCCCCCAATCCACGAGGACCACGTGGCCCCCCGCGCCCCCGTCTCCCTACCCGAGGCCCTGCGCGAGCTGCTGGCGCGGGGCCCGGCGGGGCGGCGGGAGGAGGCCCCCAAGGAGGAGGTGGAGCTCGAGAACCCCTACCTGAGCCCTGATGAGCAGGCACCGGTGGGGACCCTCCATGGGGCACTTGGGGACAGCACTGCCAGCAATGGCTGGGTGGAGGGGGGCTCACTCCCGGGGACACCAAGGCAGGTGGGAGCGGAGGAAAAGGCCAAACCGGTGGCTGGGGGCTTGGCCGAGCGGAGCG